TCGACACAATCCGGCGCTCTAACCAATTAAGCTAACCGCGTGAAAACTACAGAAGTTCCAAAACCGGGTAGCCCGTGTTTTATTGTATGAAAGCAATGAAGACGAAGTCATCAAAGACTAGTAGCTACCTCTATTATGATGCACAAAACCTTATATGAATTAACCCCTGAATATCTACAATTCCGATTTAGATCTCGAATGGATATTACCTGGTACGGACTGATGAATTCTGAGAATAAATTGGCTGTTCCACAACCCCGCATCAACTATTAGAAGAGAGCTTTTTGCCTATACAGGTGCTGTGTTGTGGGAACAGTCTTTGCCATGAACTCCGGTCAACAGTTTCTTCAAGCGAATTTAAACGTAACTGCGTCGTTATAGCTTTTAATCAAATACGGCATCGTAGAAAAGCAGATTTAGTGATATGATCAGTTTTTATAGCTGTGATACTGTATTAATTATTGGCTAGTTCAATTGGATATTTTATTCTCTTATATTGCGCTGAAGGAAGTTACCGTGTACAAACAAAATTATCTATATAGTACAACAATTTTTTTAAGGGGGATGGGGATGGTGGAGGGCTTTTTAAAGGGAGAGGGGTTGGGATTATTGGAACATCTGAGGTATACACGTTTACGTACAACAATGATAGTCCAAGTGTACTCACTGGTGCATGCTCATTGTAGATTCGTGGGATACTTGAGGTGTATCGCAGCTTGCCCTCTCCAGACAGTAGATCCTCCAACATGACAGACAGCCGAGTCTTGGTCAGCGGCCCTTCAGATTCATTTACACACCACCCCCCTGGGAGCCAGTCGTACCTGACTTTCCTTTGACCTTTGTTCCAGAGAACTAGGACCTTACGTTTAGAAAAAAAACAGGAAATTATCTAAAATGGTTTTTAAACAAAGGGATAAAGACACCAGGTTTTAAATTTAACCCCTGGGCTAGCGCTAGTCAGCCTTTAAACAACTGGGCCCAGGGGCATGGTGACGTGGAATCTATCTGTCAATTTTACAAGTGTTAACATTAAAAAATGGTTAACAACATATGTTTTATAACATGACATTGATATATTGAAGCAAAAGAGTTCCCTTTTATTTAACAAATCTTACATGACCAGAAAAAACAAGCGCGCGTGGAAAACTAGTCTTTGTATTTGTTCACGTCAGCAGCGTACACCCATGGGCAAATGATGGACACTGAATTGACCAATTAGAGCGCACTCTCTTCTTTTTTATGCTATAATTTACCTTTGATGCTGTTTTATTTTCAGCACAACTGTCTTCCTTCACTCCATCTTTGAACTCTTCCACGAAATCTCGCTGCACACCTTCGTAAATATACAAAAATTTCACCCGCCTCTCAGAAAGGAATTTATTATCCGTTGCCAACAGCCTTAAGGCAAGCTTCTCTTTCTTATGTTGGCCTTGTTTAGTAAAAAGAACCACACACAGCCTGAAAGATGCAATAAGACATGAAAGAAACGGTTACTGAGTTACTCACATTTCTCATTCAACCCAAGTTTGTTTTCAGTAACATGAGGCCACTAGGAGTATTGGATAACGATAAAGTATCCGATCCCAACAACGCATTTGCCAACGCATCAGACAACACACTACCGACACGTTGGTAGGGTCGACCAACGCGTCGGCGGACCGTCGACTGACGCGTTGGATCGGATTCTCTACCTTTACCGACTGTTACACAAAAGTTTTCAACAAAATTTCAAGACTCTCATTTGGGCTAGACATATTTTCATGCTACATTTAGGCATTCTAAGCAACTCACCTTCGGTGGGATCTAAACCTCTCCTCGGGACAAAGTTCATCAAATACAGACCTTGAGAACAGTCTTGGGAGGTGAAGATATTTGTGAGATTCAACCACTTCACGGAGCTTTCCATGCTTGAGTTCAGATGCCTATCAGTAAAAATTCAAAATAAGTTATGGTCCAATTGCCAAATACTATTTATCTTTTAATGAATTATTACAGAATCATCAACACAAGTTTATAAAATTGTTTAGTTTTCAATGACTAATTTTTTTTATCAAAATATTTGAATTATGTTGCAAACCATCTGAAATCTTTTCATGATCATTAACTTTCAAGTAATGTCTTTTTATTTATGAAAATACGTGAAATAAAAGACACTGATATAATTTCTGATTTTCAACATGATAGCTATGTGATAAAACCGGACAACTCTATAACAGTCAGTAACAGTTAAACTGACATTAAATTGGATGGAAAGTGCCTTTTAAAAGAGCTTGTCAACTTCAACTACATGTAGTTACCTTAACAACCACATCTGGCACAGCTACTTCCTCCTTAAAGATCAACACGGTTGGTTCCTTTAAGTTTACTCGAAAGCGTTTCCTGAGAGGCTCCGAAGAGCTGTCAGTTAACGACACAAAGCCAAATGACTGTCGCTTGTGATTGCCGAAAGCCACCAGATGATAAAGGAGTGAAGGACGAGGTTTGGGAGAAAACAAAACGACGCTTGGTTTGTTACTGATGCTCGTTGTCAGGAAAAAATCAAGATTCCTGGCTGTGACCTGGAAAAATAATGTGGGTCTGGTTTACTACAAAGAGATCTATTGGACTAATCATTACCATGGTTGATTAAATCCAAACTGATACAATGAATATATGAAGTTCATATATTTCGAACTGCGGTTGTAGATACGTATGATGCACGATCCTCGCAGTAGAGAGCGCTATTTATGCAGTAGCGAAAATCAGACCTGAAAAAAATCAGGTCTGAATATATGAACTTCATATATTCATTGTATCTGATTTATCATCACGGGTTTATTACGAATCAATTTAACGGCCTGCTCCCAGTTGGCTTGTTAGCTCAATTGGTAGAGCGCAGCACTAGTATCGCAGAGGTCAGTGGTTCGAATCCC